CCCCTTATCTTTACACAAAGTTTACAGCATGTAACCATGCTTTCCATGAGGTGATCAACCACTCCAGAGTCAAATAAGTTCCATTCCTCCTGTATAGTTTGCAACTCTGTGAGAGTGTCAGGGGGTGGGAAACGTGCACACACAGCACGGCCGAGGGCATCCCAAAGATTCTCAATGGGATTGAGGGCTGGCAAATACACCGGCCAATCCATACCTGCGATTCCCTCTCTCTCGAGGTAGTCGTCAACGAAGGCAGCTCTAGGGGGTCATGTGTTATCATCCATTAAAACAAAAGCAGGACCAACTGCTGCAGCATACAATTTCACAATAGGTTTGAGGACTTCATCCCGATACCGGACAGCAGTTACAGAACCCCTTCGATAGATGTGCAGGTCGGTGCAATATCCCAACGAAATGCCTGCCCATACCATAACACTTCCACCTCGGAATGCGTGATGCTCGATAATGTTCTGAGGTCAGTTGCGTGTGCCTTTTTCTCTCCATACTCTTACACGTTTGTCATCTGGCTCCAGGGAAAATCGCGACTCATCCGTGAACATAACGTTGCCTCAATCAGACACAGTCCAATTCGCATGTTGCCGACACCACTTTAATCATGTGCCTTTGAATTGGACAGATAGTGGAACACAAACTCGTGGTACCCGGGCATACAGTCCGTTCATGTGTAGCCTTCGGCGCACAGTAGTAGCAGATATCGTTTTACCAATAGCTGCAGCAATCATCAATGTCATACGTGTAGAGGTTGCTCTTTGATTCCGCTTGGCTACAACAGCAATATAGCAATCTTCTGCAGGGATCGTAACTCTTGGGCAACCAGCCACAGGTCTTCGGACAACTGTTTGGCTTGTTTGGAATTGTTTCCATAACCGTGAAATGACAGAATGATGAACACCGAAGAAAAGAGCAACATCTGTGATTGATTGTCCTGTTTCAAGGCGTCCCATACACAGCCAGTGCTCACTGTCTGTCATTCGTCCTCTGGAAGTCATAGAAACACATCAGTCATGCACACTAATTGTACGACAGTTCTCCACACTTTTTCTCGGCACTTACATGCAACTCCTCTCCCACTTCAGAAGGCTGGCTTCTTATACGACTGTGTGTTTTGCATATTTCGCAACACATAATCATGATTGATAGTAACATAACATATTTGCATACTTCCACCTACCTCTGCAGTGAATTGCAACCTCTCAAATGCAGATTGCTTTCCAAACATGAACATTTTCTGCTCTGTGCTTAACTTTTGGAAGTGAGTGTATGAATTTCTATTAATTTCAAATGTTGTTCCCATTCTTTTTAATTTATTTCCATTGCATTAAATATGTTTTTCACATGTTCTCTTTTGTTTAAGTTTGATGTTCCAACTGAAGACCTACAGAAGCAAGCTGAAAACAAGGTATACTAATACTTTCATTTGCTTACTTTTCCAGTTTTGTCAAATTATTTTGTAGTAATAAAGAGTTTGAAAGTTTATAGCCTCTTAGCATTATAGCTAGTGAGTCAAGTATCTTAATCACCAAAAGATAAATAACTTCTCATCCAAAATGTTATTGCAAAATTAGACTTTTTTAATGACTATAAATATATAAGATGTTAATATTAAAATATTTTCTATCATCTTTAGTACATTTGATATTTGGAGAGATATCTGAAGTTGAGAGAAATCCAGATGCAATGAGACTGATGGCTATGGCAATCATTCTTGTGAAAAGCCACAAGTAGTGTATATAAGTCATAAATAAAATAATCATCATTAAAAAACTATTGATTTTACCAAAAAATTTATGTTGTTGAATATTGTAATCTATGCACAAGTTCCAGAGTCAATTGCTTAGTCCTTTACAGGGAATAACAACTAACACATGCTAAAATTGAGATCACTTAAAGATGGCTTATCAGTCCAAAGAGAGAATTATGAGAACTTTTTCAGCTCTCAAGATAAAAGTTAAATTACTGTGATTTTACATTGGATAATAGAAAACAGAAGATAGTTTAAGGAAAGACGTGCATTTAGGTATCTTTGATGATTTCCAAAAAAATTGCAATGGAAATGAATACATCTGTATAGAATGTAAAAGATTTTTCATAATTCTTTGAAACGCAGTAATAAGTTTAGACAAAGGAAATCTATTGATAATCTAACTATATAAAGCTGAAAAACCAAATTCATTCTTTCTGTCACCGTATGTCAAAATTGGCCACTAGGGGCATCCCTAGCTATTATTTAAATTAACAATAAATTCAGTATATTATTATTTGATGCAGTTTTTTGCATTTTTTGGCTGCATTTTAGTAAGGTACGCCATGAGAAATTTGATATATTATTATTTTTATTTGTAATAGGAATTTATTATTTATACCATGGAATGGTACTGCTGCTGCTGCTAGAATGCCCACTAGGGGTGTCCTGGGCTAATCCTACTAGAATAGAAGGATTAGAAGTATGAAATAATCTAATAATCTTTGTTGTTGTTTTTTGCCCAGGCAACACCGGGCTCATCTGCTGGTTGTCACATAAAATTGAGATAACCCACAGTAGTGAATAACTCTAAGCCCTTTCATCAAATCAACTTAAAACACAAAACCAACAGGTTATTTGTAATTATTATACTACTTTGCAAGTTCTATAAATTTTTCCGTATCTATTAGACTAAAAACATTCTTGATAAGTTTACTATCAAACTCTGCAATTTTAACATTTTGGGCATTAAGTTTGCATATTAATATAAGGTGGAACAGGCTAGCTCTGATCAGAAAAGCACAAGATAAGATTTTATATCCTTAAGATTTTTTTTTGAACAGATTCATACAAACATAATCAGCAACCTCAACCTCAAAATCTAAATAAAGAAAATGCATGAACATTCTGCAATACCATCATTGGTAAATTGAGATAATTTTCTGATTGTCTATAGGAGTATTTATATAAATTTTGATAATTTAGCATCATTTTTCATACTATAAAACTACAATTTTAAATGTGTGTTTTTGCTTTTTAGTTCTTCGTTCTATTTTTAATTTATTGAAAATAGTCAAGTTGATTCAAAAATGTTACAGCTTATTAATGAAGCTGAGAACTGGTTTCCTTAATTCAGTAATGTTGTTTATAAATATATGTGTAAACCTAGAAATAAATAACATGCTTATAATCACTGAAAAAATAATGCATCAGTTTATTCTGAAATGTATATATTATTTTACATTTAGATTTTATGTAAATTTTTTTTTATCGTTATATTTTTATTTTAAAATTAAAGAAACAATACTCAGTTTAATTTTGAGAAGCAAATAAAATTTAGTAATATGAACTTTTACACAACAGCCTTTTAAATATATAATATGGTGGTCGGAGGCTGTCAAAAATTAGATTACTCAAGTTTAGGGTAGGGTCCTGCCACCACGTGTGTTTTGTTGGACATATTTCAAATTTAGACAAAAAAAAAAACAAATAATTAAGGTGCAAGGGTAAGAGTCACTCCGAAGTCTAAGAATGAGCCTCTCAGGAGGATGAATGTAGAGTCAAGTACTGTACAAATAACGAGAGTTTATCATCAAAAACAGTATCAAAAAACAAAGTTCTGAACAAAATTATAAAATCTGATTTAGGAAATTGGCCTATTTCTATCTATAAAATGAGGGGGTACCTAACGAGGGGTATCCAAACTTCACGACTTACAACATACCAGGAAGAGAGTTGTCTTCTCTTCTTTCTTCACTTTTTCTCCTTATTCTCTTCTTCCTTTCCGTCTTTATTCTAGGTTCTTTCGCTCATGTCCAGTCAACCCCCTGTCCGGGCAAGTCAGTCAATCTGCTCCGTAATCCACTGGAGACTATGTCCTCCGCTCATGTCCCCAGATAGCAGGGTGTGACCCCTTTTTATATATTTTTAGCATGGGAGAATTATGTGATGTTCAATTTACTAGTTTGAGCTGTGTCCAGGTTCGATTGACATAGGACATTGCAAACTGGACGGTTTGTTGATACTTTCCCTCGGTGTTACGACTCTCCTTACCTCATAATTTTATTCAATTGACAGTTTCTCATCATTAATACTTGATTGTTTTGACTAAGTCTATAACATAAGTCCAAACATCATAACAGTATTTGATCATTGTTCTCTATTAGTCCTAGAGGTCAACATGGAGACTGGGTGGTGGGAAGGAAAAAGGTTTTTTTTTCCTTTGCATGTTGAGATTTATAACATTTAATTGATAAATTTTTATCCTAATTTGTTTCTCTAAATTATTTCAAAATTGATATTACTAAAAATTTGGAAAAGGGGGGTCCTTAAAATTGGAAAAACAGGCAAAATTCCTTTATAACATTGGTTGATAGATAAACAATCTCAGTGTCACATTTACATACACATCTTCGAGATGTGCGTCCAAAGGGCATCCTGTCTGATAGCTAACAGTTGTTCTTTACACAACCAACAGAACAAAAAAAGGGATATAAAATAAGCAGAGTTTAAAATACTATAAAATTTCTAATTGATTAATTAAAGCAAATACATTATTAGCAAAAGGATTAAAATAAAGTAATTGAAACTAAAATTATACAGATAATGTAAATAACAATTAACAAATACATACATATATAACAACAAATTTTCTTGGGGGGAAATGGTGGGCCTCACAATAACAAACTTGATCATCATATAAAAAAAACCAAACACTTAAATTTAGAAGTGTTCATTTCATAATGTTGAGTAGAAATTAGTGAAGTAATAGTAAATAAAAATTGTTTTCAATAATTTCTAGCCCTAATGATGGGTGAAATGATTTGAAAGTATGTAATTAAAAATAAGTCTCTAATAAAATAAAAAGATTTGTGTTTAAAATACTGAAAATTTGCTTCTCTAATGTCAACTATTTATTGAGTATTTAGACAAAGGAATTAAATTTTACTGTTTTAGAATTGATGATAGATTTCATTAGTTATTAATGTTTTAAAAATTTCTTTAATATCCAACTTACACTTTTCAAATTCATCAACATCTCCACCTTCATCATCAGATTCTGTACCTGAATCATGATCGTCATCAACCTGTAATAAAGTAAAAAGAATTTTATAAGCTTTATAATTTAAAGTTTATATTATTTAAATAATTTGAACAAAATATTTATAAAATGATCTCATGAGCAAATGTGGACTGTTTAACAATACAAAAACCTAACAATAAGATCAAATAAAATAAGTTTGAGGATAAAGATATAAATGATCAGTTATTTAGTTTTATTTTAATAAATTTCACATTAAAATTTCCTTGCACTCAGATTTAATAATTGATTATAATTATAATCTATACATCCATTTGTATATAAAATTATAACTTGTTAAATGTACTTATAAGTTTTAATAATAAAATGACAAATAATTCAATTTTCAAGAAATCTATAAATATTTATTGGAATATAATCTAAATTATAGTTACAATTTGAAGATCATGAAATAAATCTTGATGAGTTACTTATATATCAAGAAATGATCATAAGACAAAAAACAAAAGTGAAAGACAAATAATGTGAGATAATGTGAGAACTCACACTTTACAAAAGAAAGTTTAATCAACAAAAAGGGGAAAATTAGTCAATACAATATTGTCAGCAGCAATAATTGTCAACTTTTCTACCCGAGAGAGTCTCATCTTATATGTTCTCAATGCTGACAGACACTTTCCCATAACGACCTGCCCTCCTGGCCATATTCTGCCATTTTAATATGACAAATAGCAGCCAGTTCAGGCAGTAGTCACCAGTTCCTCCAAGAGTAAAAGATGTCAATTTCTCCACGACACAAAAAGTTGTCGTCAGTTCCTCAATAATTAAAGTTGCTGCCTGCTCCCCCAATGATATAGTCTGATCATCACCTCCTCCGATAGAGGAATATCCCAACTCCAGAACTAGAAATCTCAACACTTTCCTTCTTTGGACTGTCCCCATAGTGTCGGACTCTGTCAACAGAACAATCGTCCCATCCATAAAGTTGTTCTATTTCCAGATATTTATAACAACATGCAATTTCATATAAACTGCTCCCCAGTTAGCATTTAACAATAAAATGACAAATAATTCAATTTTCAAGAAATCTATAAATATTCACATGTGCAAACGCTTCAATGTTGCTCTAGTATCAATTATCTATTTGTCTCCATCTTGAAACAGACCACCTACACATATGAGCATTCATATAATGAATTCAAACGAAAACAAACAGCCATCGCAACTTCTGTGTCAGGCTGACAGAACACAGAAGTGCCCTCCTGACATGGCATCAAAGAGGTGCTGACCCTCTAGTCACAATAACACCAGTTGCTTTCTTTTGTATACAATTAACCTTGCCAACAATTTGCACTCAAATTTGAACAGGATATTTTGAACACACTTTGGAAATGAGTTGGAATTTTAAAAAAATGTTTGGAAATCATCTTTTTCTCCAGTAATATAAAAGGAATTTCAGTTGTAGTTCATTTTTTATCCATAAAAAAATGCATCTTTTTATGGATAAAAAATGAAATTTTAAAATTAATTTCAAGCAGAACACTATTAGTTATAACCTACTACAGTATAGTAATGTTACCCCAGCAGAAATAGAACTTTGAAGTACAGAATTCAAAACACCATAGTTTAATACAGTATATGAAAGTAAGTCGAAAGCATATTCCAATAAGACAGTTAATTATGCTTATTCATTAAGAAATCTATATCAAAACAGAATTTATACATTTCTATATATAATGGAAAATAAATTTACTTAAGAGAGGAGAGTAATGTCTTCTTAAACATTCTCTTCCTTCCAATTATAGCTAGTGAAGTAAATCTGGTGAATTGGCATGTGTAAATAATTATTCTTAGCTGTATAGCTCCATTCCTACCTGAAATAATAATGCAAAAAGAGAACTACAATAATCCATCTCTAGCAAGACTCAGAAAATCAAATTTTAAAATGTTTTGACTTTTGTTTTAAGCAGAAATGGGAAGTCAATCACTAGTTGTAACATCCCTAGATCAATATGCCAAACATAACAAATTACTGATTGCTTACAAGGCAACAAGCATATTGATGGATAACACAGTTGTCAGAAACTTTTGAAAAGATGCATAAACAATTTGGAATCAATCATCATGAATAAAAAAACATATCAGATACACAACTACAAATTCTTTCACAGCCCTCAACTTGCAACCATCAGCACTTATGGCGGCCAAACTAATGTAATGAATAAAATATATATACAGTAGAACCTCCATTATCCGGATTTTCGATTATCCGGATTGTTCAAAATAAACAAAAATTTTACGAATTTGCTGATCTGCACTTGGCGAATTACGACACTGTTTATGTACGTGATGGAATGCATAACTTTTTTTGTTTCAATAACGTCTCACCCAGCACAGTGGTCGTAAACTCTTAAATATATTTTACGTCGTAATAAAAATATAACTTGACATACGTATTTATAAATAATTTATTTTCAAATTACATCATTTCTATGACCAAGGGCGGCGTAAGGCATGG